TTTTTTTTAAAAAAAATTGCCTCTTCAAAACCTTGGTGCGTCTTATACTCTGGTGCATCTTATACTCCGAAAAAAATGGGTATGTCTATTTTTCACACTAACAATTGTTGCAGCATCCCCATGGCCATGGTCTTGGCAATTGGTTTGTATTTATGATGGTTGCAGTGTCCTGGGGTCATGTGATCAATTTTTGCAAACTTCTGACAAGCAAAGCCAATGGGGAAGCCAGATTCACTTAACAACTGAGTTACTAACATAACAACTGCAATGATTGACTTAATAACTGTGACAAAAAAGTTGTAAAATGGAACAAAACACACTTAACAATGTCTCAGTTAGCAACATAAATTTTGGACTCAGTTGTGATCATAAGTCAAGGACTATCTGCACTAGATCCAGTGGTGGGATTCAAATAATTTAACAACTGGTTCTCTGCCCTAATGATTTCTTCCAACAACCAGTTCACCAAACTGCTCAGAAAGTTAACAATTGGTTCTCCCGAAGTGGTGCAAACTGGTTGAAACCCACCACTGACTAGATCTAACATTGAAACATCTAAAATCCTGGTATCTCTGATAATATTAATTTACATCATAGGTCAAGGAATAGTATTCTGCATATGTAACTATTTGGAGATGGAGTCTAATATGGTAGAATAAGAAGGAATGGCATTTCTGTATCCCTTATAGATGTTTCTGCTCTCTCTTCTTTGGATAGGTACTATTCAGTCTTATACCCACTGCAAAGAAAGATATCAGATGCCAAATCACGAGATCTGTTGATCTATATTTGGGCTCATGCAGTGGTGGCCAGCATTCCAGTCTTTGCTGTGACCCATGTGTCAGACATATATGCTATATCCACTTGTACTGGGCCCTGGAGTTACTCTATTGGCCATTTAGCATATGTTATCACTTACAACCTTACCACTGTGATTTTACCAGTGACTGTGGTATTTCTCTTTATGATCCTCATCCGGAAGGCACTGAGCGCCAGCCAGAAGAAAAAAGTCATTATAGCTGCCTTAAGAACTCCTCAAAATACAGTCTCTATTCCTTATGCCTCCCAGAGAGAATCTGAACTTCATGCCATGCTTCTGTCTATGGTTATGATTTTCATTTTCTGCAGTATTCCTTATATGACTATGGTGGTTTATCATGCTACCCTGGATTCTTCTGATTCTTCTGTATACTTGCTTCTCACTGCTATCTGGTTGCCTAAAATATCACTGCTGGCCAACCCACTTCTCTTCCTGACTGTTAACAAAGCTGTACGGAAATGTTTAGTAGGGACGATACTGCAATTACATCGAAGGTATAGTCGAAGAAACATAGTCAGTTCTGGGAGTGCTGGGGAGGCCAATCTGGAATCTCACGTTCGTTCTGGCAGCCAACTCCTAGAAATGTTTTACATTGGACAGCAGCAAATTTTCAAGCCTACAGAGGACGAAAATGAAGCTAAATCTGTGGATCCCAATGACTACCAACAGGAGGAGATACCCACAACCAGCTTAGATGTAGAACAAGCCCAAATCCAGACATCTGTTTGTCTTGCAGTTGCAGATTCTGCTGCTCAAATAGCACCAGCTTTATCTACAGAAGCCGAATTGGCCAAAGAAAAGTATTCTACGCAACTGGGTTTTGGACCTTTTGAGTTGCCCCCACAGTGGCTTTCAGAAAACCGAAATGGTAAGAAACGACTTCTGCCTCCTTTAGGAAATACCCCAGAGGAGCTGATCCAGACAAAGCAACCCAGGGGTAAATCAGAACGAAAAATGAGCAGGAACAATAAAGTCAGCATCTTCCCCCAAATGGATTCCTAGCCAAAGAAGGAGCTCCGTATGATGAGAGAAGACTGCCTTTTTGCATTTATATGATCCTATGGATCTGTGCTAAAATGAAATTAAAGGCTTATTTTTGTGCCAGTTATGGCAAAAGCTAAAACTTAAGTGTTCCTTATACACGGGTTTTGTTATGAACACGTATTTCCTTATTTCACAATCCCCCTTTCCCCCATTATATAAAAAAAACAAATGAACTGTTTTCTAAAGAGGTATGTTTGATTTGTTCTTGCCCTACAGATTGCTTCCTCTACTGCGATCTATAAGACTTTTAAGCAGAGCAAGCCTGCTTAATTAGGGCTAAAAAAAGTGGTTTGCAAAGATTAGAATGAACACAAAGCAGTCCAGAATACAAAGTGAGACCGAACTAGGAATTCGTTCCACAGTGAGATGTTTTTTCATGGACCAGAGGGAGTGGTGTGGTTTCACATGCTGCCTGCATCCCGCAGATGGGACTTCGCTTATTTGTGCAGCCTGGTTTCTGGCATGCTGTGGCCAGTGCCATTCCACTGACTGGGGGTTGGGGACCCATGCACTAGAGGACAGCAAGGCAGCCCAGAAAGTCTAGTACCTTTGCTGACATTTAATGGTCATTTGGAGTTGTGTTATACTTCATGCATGCACATGTGCATAAATACACACCTTACAGAGATGTAGCACTTCAATTATAGAATTCCAGGGAAAATATTTCAGTGAATATCTAGCAACTAGTACTTGGGATTCTCACATTAAAAACACCCAGAATATTTTCGGAGCATTATTTGACTTGGCAATTTGGAATATGTTTTAACAATTAAAAAGACCATGGGCATTCCAATTATATTCTATAATTTACTAAGCATTTTGTCTGTTTATTTTTAAGTATTTTGGCAGGTTCCTGCTCTTGCAGTAAGCATGTGTCAAATTCATACATAGGATTTTAGATTTCCTTAAAGGACTGATTTTTAATATTGTGAATTCTGCAAGCTTTTGATCAGTGAAGCTCCTGCAACGTGACTGGGATATGAAAACAGTTACATTTGATGATGCTACTGCATAACATGGATACAGCAAATGTTGAATACAGATAGTCCTTGACTTATGATCATTCATTTAGCAACAATTCAAAATAATAATGGTGCTGAAAAAAAGTGATTCACGATTGGTACCCACATTTATGATTGTTGTAGCATCCCTATGCTCATCTGATTATGAATTGAGTGGTTGGCAACCAGCAGGTATTTATGATGGCTGCAGCATCACATTTTTCACCATCTGCAACCCTGCCAACTGGCTTCCAAGAAGCAAAATCAATGGGGAAGCCAGCAGGTAGTTGCAAGTCATAGAGATGTGTGATATCTCGCAAAATATGTGACAAAAAAGGTTGTAAAATTAAGTGATTGCATCACTTAACAACTTTTCTGGTTCCAAGTGTGTTGTAAGTCAAGAACTACCTATATAGATATATGATTATTACATTTAATAATCACCATGCCCTCAAAATCAGTCTCTCCCCCCCCCCCTCTCTTGTATTCAGTCTTTTCTCTGCTTCTATTGTTAATGTGTTTATCTCTGGTGAAAAGGCACTAAGATGGTTGTTGCTGTTTTGTCTGATAAACAGTAGACTGAAGTAGGAGCCACTGTGTTAAGAATAGTCTTGATTCTGCACTCTACACACTTGCACATTCTAAGTGTATAATATATAAAACACACCTCTTCATTATGATTCTAAAAATCTTAATAACATACAGCACTTTTTTGCTTTTCTGCCTTGTTTTTTAATTATATTTTAATTAACTAATTCTGTCTAATCGTTTTGCCTTTTCTCTGGGAGTGGCTTCAGAATAACAGAATTGGAAGAAACCTTGGAGTTCTTCTAGTACAAAACGCCTTCTCAAGCAGGAAACCCTATACTGATTCAGACAAATGATTGTCCAATTTCTTTTTAAAAACTTCCAATCTTAGAGCACCCACAACATCTGGAGGCACATCCTTCCACTGATTAATTGTTCTAACTGTTAGGAAATTTATTTCAGTGTTTTTTGGTTTGTTGCAGGAAAAGAAAAGATGTTAACATGTATTTTGCCTTTGATTTGTTGTATTTTGTGGGATTCCAAGCGATATCTTAGTATTGATGTGTAATACAGTAGAAAAGGAGTGTTGGTCCTATCTGACATGCTACTTCTTGTAGGGAAAGGAAGCTCTTAGCTCTTCTGCCTGGACACTGAGCTTGTCATCTTTTTTGGCAATGCCTCCTTAGGTGGGAATCTCACCCAGTTTCAGCGAAGGTGCCATGATGATGATGCTTGTGACACGCTGATGACGAGGCTTGCAACCTGTGAAAACATTAGCCCCTCTCGGACTATGGGCCAGACGGTCTCCAAGGGTGGGGCTGGATCCTCTTCCCTACGAGAAGCAGCACGTCAGGTAGGACCAATGTTCCTTCTCCATAGGGGGAAGGGGAAAGGATCCAGGAATGGGACTTATCAAAGCCCTCCAACTCAAGAGTTGGTTGTCATCTGGGCCAAAGTCTCCCGATCCTCGTGGACCCTTTTGAGGACCCTCCTGCCGAAAGCTGCTTCGGCCAAGGCATAAGTGTCCAACTTTTAATTTCGGATAAATGGCGATGGAGAGGCCCAAGTAGCCGCTCTGCAGATTTCTTCTATAGACACCTGCATGGCCCATGCTGTCGTCGTGGCCGTGCTCCTGGTTGAGTGCGCAGTAATGCATCTAGGCACTGGAAGTCCCTGTGTCTTGTAGGCTCTAGCAATGGTTGCTTGAATCCATCACCCCACCATTGTCAAGGTGACCTTGGCACTCAAGGGAGAAGGCTGAAAAAATATAAAAAAAGATTCCAACCTCCGGTGTCTCTTCCAGTCTCGCTAATAGTCTCTTTGCTCCACACAGCCGCTTCAATCCGTCAAAAAGAAAGTAAACCC